GTCTTCCAACATGACCATTTGGATTCATCCTATTGAGTAAACTCAGCTGAAGACAGTTTGTTTATCTAAGATAAGACGGAAATTGGATACTTGGGGAACAAGCTTATTTTTTTTTAAATGAGAGAATGGAATACACTTAATTCAGGGATTGATATTTTTATTGAAGCTTAGTTAATTCACACATGGAAGGAAGGAAGGAAGGAAGGAAGGAAGGAAGGAAGGAGGGAGGGAGGGAGGGAGGGAGGGAGGGAGGGAAAAAGAGATAAGGGAGAGGGAAGGAGGGGGAGGAAGAAAGGAAGGTGAAAAGAAAGGAAGGAAAAAACAGATAAGCGTGAGTGAGTGAGTGAGTGAGTGAGGGAGGGAGGGAGGGAGGAAGGAAGGAAGGAAGGAAGAAAGGAAGAAAGGAAGGAAGAAGTCAGAGCTAGAGATTATATTTTCATGTGATTTTGCAGAGCGAAGATATAGTTGGACTTCTTCCCAAGAGCCTCCACAGCTAAAACCAAGAGTTCGGGGAACACCAATGGATGGGCAGAAGACAGGAAGTGGGATCTCTCATATCCTGTGGAAGATTTCCCTTCTAGGAATTCTTCTGGCTTTTCCTCCTATGATGGCCCTTGGCAAGGTTTCGTTTTCTGCTGTTGTTTTTGGTGCTGTTGGTGCTGCTGGTGATCAGACCTCCCTTGACGATCCAATGCTCCATATTCGTGGTTGTCATCACAATTTTGGCTGGGCAAGGACTGGTTTCCACAATCTGAATAACAGCGGTTGCAGGTGGCTGCACACTCATCCTCCTGATGGTGATGTTTGTCCTCCTGGGCACCCATGTTTCTCGGTTCTTTTTTTTTTAAGAAGAAGCAATGCTGGAAAGAAAAGGAGAAAACGGTAAACGTCAGGTCCCCAAAAAACAAGAAAGACACATCACGATTCTTCTAAACTGTCACCATCATGCTGTCTGACCAGCTCAGAGAAACATCTAGTCCACTATTCAGTCCCATTCAAAGCCTGCCCAGATACCTCCAGGAGGTTTTTATGGATGGGAGGACATCTTAACTTCCTTTTTGCTGTCATTCTCCAACCGTTGGGTTTAAAGCATGCCACCTTTGATTCTGGAGCTACTCTGAATCAAACAACTTGAAACTTGAGGTAGTTCTTGTCCTCCATGAATTTATCTTCCAACCTTTTTCAGAAACCATCCTTTTCAATGACCATCCCTGTATCTGGTGTCAACAAGCTCTTCTGGATAACTGCATTGGTTTTTTTTTTAATCCATTATCAATCTCTGCGATGGATTTCCCTACTAGAAATGAAGGACCTTCCACCATCCATGTTCTCCTAAAATATCCAGGAGTCCATATCTCTATGATATCCCCTTCCATCTCTCGGTCTTTTCCCTCATCTTTTAGCCTCCTCAACATTTCTGCTTGCCCTTTGCTTTGTTTCTCCCTTCCCCTAGAAGTTGGAGGAGAAAAAAATGAGCTTGGTCAGAGAGATGAACAGAAGGAACGTACCTGGTTCTCAAGGAGATCCCTGAAGGACGTCAAGCTGTAGTATGGACACCCCTTCCAAGGGACCTTTTTATATACTGTTTCTCAGGCCGTCTGGGAGTGAGACATCAGCCAGCTATGCCTATGTTTACTTTTCTTTTGTCTCTTGAATAAAAGACCATTCTAATTAGCTCGCGATCTTCCTTTTGACTCAGGATATTAAAATCATAATAAAGAACAAATGAATGCATTTTTTCAGTCCATGGCCTCGTGCATGTAAATGCCAGGCACACCTAGGAAGAAAAAACTGGGAGGGGGGAAGATCTTTAAGAGATTTTTTTTTTATCCATCACTGGAGGTTTTCAAAATAGATTGGACAACCCTTTGACCTGGATGGTATAAAGTCTCCTGCTCAAGCAGGGGGTTGGACTAGAAGACCTCTGGGGGTCCCTTCCACTCTTAGGATTCGACGCTCTATGTTCTAAAGCACAGATGATTTCAAATTAAAAGAAAATGCTTGCTTCAAACTTGATACGTTTCAATCCTATATGATGTAAATCTGGGATTAAACTCATTGCAAATATATAATAATAATAATAATGATAAAGTTGGAAGGGACCTTGGAGGTCATCTAGTCCAATCCCCTGCTCAGGCAGGAAACCCTATACCATTTCAGACAAATGGCTGTCCAGTTTCTTCTTAAAAACTTCCAGTGTTGGAGCATTCACCGCTTCTGGAGGCAGGTGGTTCCACTGGTTAATTGTTCTGACTGTCAGGAAGTTTCTCCTTAGTTCTAGGTTGCTTCTCTCCTTGGTTAATTTCCACCCGTTGCTTCTTGTCCTGCCTTCAGATGCTTTGGAAAATAGCTTGACTCCCTCTTCTTTGTGGCAGCCCCTGAGATACTGGAACACTGCTATCATGTCCCCCCTCGTCCTTCTCTTTGTTATATATATTTCCTGGGGAGCCCACAACAGCTTTAATTTGTCCCTAAGCAAAAGATGAGAATTTAATTTGAACTTTTGAGGAATGTAGGATTTGTTCATTTGGCCAAGGATGGAGATAGGAATCTTCCTTCTTTGTCTCCGTTGTTATGGCTATAAAAATGCATCCATGGGTTTTGGAATCTGTGGTGAATAGGTAAAACATTCCTTGAATAGGCTGTGGTGAATAGGTAAAACATTCCTTGAATATTACAAACGGCAAGATTCAGTCCGTAGGCTCAAAGCTGGTTTCAGATGGGCAGGGTGACAAGTTTGCCACGGGGATGAGGAGCAATCTGCTGTAGTTGTGTAGGAGGTTGGTAACCAAACTGGATGTTAGAAAACTTGACGTGTTTTCATTCTTGCTTCAGAATAAGATGAAAGGAATTCAGGAAGTTGTATCGGAAGGAATCAATTTGGTGGCTTATCAAAATTCAGTCAACAGTGGATAAACTGAACCCCCTCTTGTATATGTTCACTGATAAAGGACATAAGGAGATCCGGTAGGAAGGAGGCAGGAATAATGGGGGGGGGGAAGAATCACATTGCTCCTAATACATAAGTAGGAAAATTAAAATGCAGATGTATATTTTTAATTTGCTGTGAAAAATAGAACTACGGATATTGATTCTTGAGAAAAAAACATTCCATTATTTATAATAATTAGATCAGGGTGCAGGTATTTCCACTGCTGCAATTATTTAGGCGTGCATAAATTGAAAATGGTCTTCCCGAGATTGCTTTGTGAAAAAAAAAATCCAGATAAAAATATATCAAAGCGCTTGATTGCATTCAAAAAAATAAATAAATCTAGGAGCACATCTAAAGAAGATAAAGTGCTTTTTGGTGATGGGAAATTAATGAACAACCTGGTGATACTTATAAATAAAGGCCACTTTGAGAACATTCAAGGACTTGAATTCCAGAAAAAGTGATATTTGCAGTTCTGATGCAAACTCTTCAAATTTTTACAGTTTCTTTCTCCAATTCTCTAGGCCTATTTTAGCATCCCACAATTGCCAAACGAGGCCATCCTTAGAGATTGCAAAGGATCTGAGAGTTGTAGGACGAACTGAGAATTGAAAACCTCATCTGAGTTACTATTTGAGTAGGTTTATTCAAGTAGTCTTTAGCAAAGCTTAATAGATGATTTTGAGCCGCGGGAAATTTAGTAATAGTATATTTAGACAACATATGCACAGTAGTCTACAATTATATATGTAGGAATTTAAATCCTAATTAGTTATGCAAAGTGTTGCACACTGTGTAAGTTACACATCAGAAGTTTGATCCTTTGTATGCATAGTTTGAGATGGATCACATTTTTAGGAGGGTGTTTTGTTGTTGACAATAAATATTTGGAGTTGCTGTCTCAGAAAACTGTAGCATTTAATGAGAAGGATCGGATGCCATTGTTTGGTGTGAGAAATTGTGACTATTTCTTTCCTCGCTACAGAAAGGTCTCTCAAAACCTTGTGAGAACACTTGGAGGGAGAAAGGGAGAACTTTCTTACCCCTGTGACAGTCAAAGTCCCTAGTCCTCAAGAAACTAGCATCCAGGGAAAATAGCAGGGAATTCCTCCACCACATAGAAATAGAGTGGATTTCATTCCACTTAAATTAAAACAATAAATTGGAGAGTCCTAGGGATATAGTTTCATTTTTAATGACTATTCTGGGATATACTGAGACAGGAAGAATCAGCTACTAGTCTAGAATATATATATTCTGGATAATAGACAATATTTGGAGCCATGTTATAACTTTTGCAGCCAGAAGAGAGCAGACATATCCTATGAATGAACAGGACACCTTAGTCTTTTAATAGATTTTTGGTTTACTGTCAAAGAAAAAAACAACAGAATAGAATGGTTCACCTGCTTTTGCTGAATATGCTAGATTTGAAGAAGTTAAGCAAACAGGCTGGACAATGCTACAAACTGAATCCACAAATGCACATAACTTAGGTTAATCTTAACCGAGAAAATTCCTTAAGTACCTTGAATGCAGTAGCTTTTCCTGACCAGATCCTAAGTGAATCCAAAATTAATTCAGATGTTAGATGTGTGTTAGATAGACAGTATTTTGTGGGTCCATCCAAATGCAGTTAGGTCTAGTGCCCTCTTGTGGCCAAACTATGCATGACACTAGATAGGGTTACAGCATGGAAGTATATATATTTTTTGAATTGCTGGATCACATGATTCAATCGGAGTCACTTGAGAGTGAGTGGGAGGCCATATAGATTCTCATAAATAAAAAAAAGGAAACAAATCAGTAAATAAATAAACAAACGAATTTGTCCTAGGTAGGAGAAGTCTAGAATTTTGTTTTTTTAATGTATAAATTTTATTAACAGCTTTAAGAGGAACATTGAAACTAACACAAGCTAGCCAAGCCATAAGAAATGGTGATACTTCAGTGGGAACAGACTTTGGAGTTTGGTAGGCTCTCAATCTTTCCTTGTTCGGAAAGTCGTACATTACACATGGTAAGAAGAAAAAGAAGTTTTCCTTTTACAAAAACAAAAGAAGATTCAACATCCACTTGACGTTCCTGCGCATGGCTCAAAGCACACCCCTCTCCTTCTACTACCATATCCTGAAGCTGAACATGCTGGTTCAGCACATACTCCTGTTCCACATCCTCCAGAAGACGTCATGCAAGGTTCTGCGCATACACTTCTCCCGGTAGGATGGCACCCTGGTTCAGCACACACTCCTCTTCCACTACCACACCTTCCAGATGTTACGCAAGGTTCTGCGCATACACCTCTCCCGGCAGGTCTGCACCCTGGTTCAGCACACACTCCTCCAGATGTAGCACATGGTTGAGCACAAGCCACGGTCCCTCCTCCAGATCCACAGCATGACCCACAATCTGAGCATGCATGAGAATAGTGTCCCCCAGTACACCCATCACAGGCATCTCCAATTGGGCGCCCCCAATAATCTCGGGGTCCTCCTGAAGGGTTGTGAACACAACATCTAACTCTTGGATTTCCTCCTGGTGTACAAGTGGATGGGCAGTAGCAGTAGCACCGGTAATTGTGGCCCCCTCTTCGGGGTACGTTGCTCCTGGGATTGCAACACGTCACACAGGCAGTGTTATCAACGTAACGGAAGGGTTTACGACGAGTATCTAGCCAGGATCCTGCTGGGTCGTACCATGTTGAGTTCAGGTTGAAGTAGGGTTCTCGTCCAGAAGAATAGATTCTTTCTTCTGGCATGGTGGGTGGAACTGAAAGTGTAGGAGCAAAATACACTGAAATTAGAATGACCCCCTCCAAAAAATAGAATTCCTTGACCTGAAACTTGTGAATGTGGTTTTCGAATGGAAAATTACTATGGAACAAATTTAAATTATAATAGGCTAAGTGGGTCCATCTGACTGAGGAGAAAAGAACTGATATAATGAGACCTCAGAGAGTTATTAAATGCTCCAGTATTCCAGAATAATACTGAAATACTTGGAGAACTATTTAGTGACCCATTATCATAATGCGCATGTTTGTATACACACTTTTAACTCACACATTCATATAAACCTTCAGCTGAACTTGAATAAAACATGTAATTTTTAAACCCTTTAAAATATTGTAGGGCACTGGGCACTTCATATTTGGTACACGCACCTAGCTTGCTTGCTGTTCCATCTCTGACTTTCAATCTGTCCAGGAATGATCTTTCTTATAAATTATATCATCCTTCTTTTGTAGCTGAACTCAGAGCAAGAGAAAACAAAATTGTTCTCTCATCTGTCATAACCTTCAGAAAGTTGAAAGGGGCTTCCACATTTCTTTTCTTGTTCCATGGTCTTTCTCCCTGACACTGTTTGTGGACATCTATCAACTATAAGAAGGCAATTTGGTACCCTCCAAATATTTTGGATTACAGTTCTCCATAAGAAGAACTGTACTAGGCATGGGTAATTATAAGGAATCATGTGTGTTGCTCCCAAAATATCCAGGAGAACATCTAACCCTCTAGACAATCTACTTTGATAAACAGATAAAAGATGTAGAGACAGACTTACCTTATCAATGAAGGAAACCAGTGAGCTAAACAAATGTTAATGAATGAAGTATCTAAGAAACAGAAGTTCTTATATATGGTTTCAATACTCATATATAGATGATACAATATCTTGGGAATGGTAGGTAGGTCCAAAACCATGGACCTCAGAGACTTTAACACCTGATCCATTACTTAACTATGGTTCAATGGATGAAGATACATGCAATTAGCAGTCACTACTGGATCGGTGATGTAGATGACAAAGCATTTTCCCGCTCAGAAGATAGATGACAGAATTCCAATGGGTCCACAAACGGAAGATGATTGGATGACAGCTCAGAGGAATCAAGGAAGAAGCCATGATCAATCAATGTCCCCGTTGGGATCAATTGCATCAGTTGCACGCCAGACTCTTATGCAAAATAATTTATGGTACCCCGTGCACGATGACAAGAATGTTATTAACTGCAATTGTAGAGAATGTTAATGGTCATCTAAATATGTGGAGTCTATTGTTGTGTGGGTTGTTCAGAAACAAGCCAGTCTACAACATGAGCTAGCCTACAAAAAACAAAGTCTGCCAGTGTAACCCAGCAAAGGAACCTCAGTTGTGATAGCTGGGTACCAAATGTCTCTTGTAGCTATTTTGGTACCCTGATGCAAGATGTGGATGTGGATTTAGGCAGACTCATGGAGACAGTGGAGGACAGGGAGGGCTGGTGTGCTGTGGTTCATGGGTTCGCAAAGAGTAGGACACAACTTAGTGACTGAACAACAATTATGTAAGATGTAATAACGGGCCGAACTTCAAAGTAGCATTTTGCTGCATTATAAATGATACTCGTCTTGAAATATCTGGAACTAAACTCAAGATTTGTCTTGCTGTCCACTGGCTAAAATTCTGGTGGACTACCACACAGGGTTCCTAAGCTGACTCCTGGACAATACAGGATGATTTGTCTTCTGCTGGCTGGTGAATCACTTGAAGGAGGACATGCCAAGCACGTGGCAGAGCTGAGCAGTCAATAAATTATCAGCTGCACAAGATGTATCCCTCATACATGACTGACTGGGTAATGAATGGCTAGAATATTCTCAAGAAATGATGGCATTTTCTATAAATGAAGTGTGCACTCTATTGCATGCCTATGACTAGCTAGACTTAAAAGGCAGAGAGTTCCCATGCTTTAGTGTGTTGTCACAATGACATCAGATTCATCCACATGAAGTCCCTTTGGCAAGTCGCATTTCCCCTTAGAAATGGGACCTTTCTCCTCTGCTTCCAAGGTTCCCAAGCAAAGCCAGAATGATGCCATCAACCCATAGGAAGGCAGAAATGGAAGGGTTAGGAGGAATCTCAAGATGATCAGATTGGAGAAAAAAGAAATTGTAGGAGGTCACCACACCACAGAAATGCAAAATGAGGATTTATTTAGTGTCAAATACAATGGTCTGGTCTTCTTTCTGGATTGGATGTTGCCGGATGGAAGTAGATTGCAGAACTGGGGGTTTCGCAGTTGGCTTGTGAGCTGAGTGGTTGAGGGATTTTTTTTTCATCAAGTTGATTGCCCATAATGTAGCCTTGATGGACATAATGTTAGTTGATCCTTATTTCTTAATCATTTTTGGATGTAACTAATTTCCAGCTAAAGGGGAGGTATAAACAACCAGCAGAGTGACATGTTTTATAGTTCTGAGGGAGTTTCCTTCATTTCTTAGCAAAATAAGTTTTAAATACAAGTTTAAAGATTTTTTTAAAATAAAAGCTAAAGACTAATTGGAATGTGGATTTTGGAAAGTTACAAATAGATTAAGGATCCAGATTTGTTTTTTACGTAAGATTTTGAAACTAATCGTGAGAATCCTTTCCTGTGGAAAAAATGCTCTTGAATTCTTTTAAAAAACATGATAGGATGAGGCTTCCACTGTTGGACACTAGAGGGAGCCAGAAGAAGCTAAAAATTCTAACAATAGGAGAAGAACATTTAAATTTGACTAATACAGAATGAACCTCCTCTCATTTCATATATACATGCATGCCATGACACACATAAAAAAGGGATGATAACACAATGGCACAATACTTGTTTTGCCACTTGTCCTTTCTCCCTCGCCCTGCAAATTTATCTGGATTATCAGGTTCACAGTTATCGTTGTTCTATCTTCTGTCTAACTCTCATGAGGAAATTCCTAGAAAACGTCAGACAATTGTTAGGTCAGGAAAAATAGATGCCTTTTGGAAAAAAAGAAGAAGAAGAAAAAGGGAAAAAAAGGAAAAAAGGAAGAATTCTGGGAGTGATGAATGCTTTAATAAGTTTTATGGTGTTACATACGTATTTTTTACATACAAATTTGATAAATAGTCAAAATGTCCAGGATAAGTAGTTACAAGCATATCAGGTAGTAAATAAATAGCAAGACAACATTTGGAGTGAGATTGTGATGTTCATATTCAGCACAACTCGGCAGCTATTTCTTCAGAAGATGGGAAGGTGCTTTGCAAACTTCTTTGACCTGGCAGATCTCAGATTGTGGTGGACAGCATGATTGGGGTGGTGGACAATATTTTTGCTGAGGTGGATAGCATAGTTGGGGTGGTGGACAATATTTTTGCTGAGGTGGATAGCATAGTTGGGGTGGTGGACAATATTTTTGCTGAGGTGGATAGCATAGTTGGGGTGGTGGACAATATTTTTGTTGAGGTGGATAACACGGTTGGGCTGGTGGACAATATTTTTGTGGAGGTGGATAGCACCGTTGGACGGGCCGACAGTACTTCTGTACTGGAGGACGACAACATACAGGTGGACGGCACTTCTGCACTGGAGGACACCATTGGGCAGGTGGACGACACTTCTGTCCAGGAGGACAACAGGATTTGACAGGAGGACGGTACTTCTGTACTGGAGGACAATACCGTTGGACAGGGGGACAGTATTTTTGTCTTGGAGGACAATATCTCTGCACAGGAGGACAGCATTTTGGTGGAGGTATATCACAATATTTCATTTCCGCACTCCATCTCACTGAGTAGCTAGACGGTTCACAACTTACAGATCTCGTATAATTATTGTATGAATCTTCTCCACCACCACATTCTGTAGTATACATTTCTTGAGACCTTGGATTAGACCTGTGAAAAAGACATATGCTAGGAACACAAGGATGAAACTATTTTAGATTAAAAAACACAATTGATGAATTAAATTGGTGACTGACTAGAATTTTATTTTTTGTAATCCTTTTCTAGAGCATTTCTTGTGAATAACATGTCTCAACATTACTTGGGAGTTAGTTAAGAGGCACTAAAACTATGACTTGGCGATACAACACATTAAGGCTTATTGTGCTTTGTTTGGCTGAAGCTTATTCAGTTATAATGTCTTGTAAATTGTGGCATGTAGACCAGTATGTTGTGATTTTAGTCAGTTGTGATTTATTCACAGAATCATGGATGAACAAATCATAGCTTATACCAATGTGTGAAGGTCCTGGCTGTGGACCAAAATAGCTTGCTTCAGGATTCACTCCTTCTGGTTTATTTTCTACCTTACTTTAATCCTAGACATTACCTAACCCCCACAGTATCTGTCCAGGTTGCCAGACACCCCACAACAATCAACAGGAACCATTGGGGGATCAAAAGGAATGGCAACTTCAGCAAATCTTAACCACACAGATGCTGCAATATAGTACTGATATTTTTTGACTCATAAATAAATTACAAAAATGAGGAAGGAAGGAAGGAAGGAAGGAAGGAAAGAAGGAAGGAAGGAAGGAAGGAAGGAAGGAAGGAAGGAAGGAAGGGCGGGCAATGATAGGATAGCAACATCGATCACATTTGTTCATACTTGTTCCCCTTAATATGTTTTAGCCAACCCTGGAGATTTTCTGAATTTATCTGCCATTTTCACTACTCACAAAACTATGTAGTGATCAAGGATATTGTAGGAGGTAAAATAGCTTCTGATCTGCCCATCATTCCTAGGTTAGCCTCCTAAGAACTATGACAAATCAAGAGTTGGCCCAGATGGATGGACCTTGCTACTGATCCCTTAATCAGAAGTCCTATCTTCTGAAATCTTTCCTTCTCAGCACAACCTGGTCTCATTGGAAAGTTGAAAGCCAATTGTAGCCATCAGGACGACTGCTTTATACATCCATTGAGGTAATTTACAACTTGTATGTTCCAATAAAGAGACGGACACTTAAT